AAAGACTCCCAGGCGGCCGTGTCTGAGCAGGGCAGAGACCTGGTCCTGCTGACTCACCCAGCTCCTCCCACCACCCAGGAGGTCACAAGCGTTTTCAATCACTTCTTCATATTAGTGAGATGGTGGGAATTGTTTGAAATACCTCATATTTCAGTTCACCGATTGATTTGCTAACTCAGCACTTGCAACATGGTAAGTGCATGCAAAAAATATATTGCAGTTAAACAAAAATATAATCAGACTGAGCGAAACAATGGTTACAAATCTAATTCAGCCTAGAGTGTTCAAATATTTCATGAATTACATGTTTTTATTTGACTGAATTAAAACATCAGTAATCTGTCTTTTACCAGGGTTTTATCCCCTTTTCCTCTCATGTAAGCAATTCTTCCCTCTAACATTAGAAAACAATTTCTAAAACTACAGGTTTTAAAGCTATTGGAAACAAACTGCAACTCTGGCTGTGCAGGAATAAAATTTCATTTTATGAGATACAAGAAAGTGAATATCTGCCTAAATACTACATAATCTCTTTGTTTTTGGTGGAAGGTCCTGACATTCTCTGACAGCAGATACTCTGTTTACTCAGGGTCCTGCATTCCTCCAGGAAGGGTGAATTTGCCAGCCAGGGTGCACACTGGATATACAGCCTGTTTACTTTGATTAATTTCCATTCCTCCCATTATTTGGGCATTGCAGGCCAAACAGAGGTTAGTTAGCCTGAAACAAAGGTCTCACTCATTAGTGTTCAGAAGGTTTTTGCAGACCACATGAGGCTGAAGAGAAATGAAAAGCAAAGGAAGTGTTTGGATATGCTCTTAAGAAACAAAGATATTTTCATGTTTTGGAATGGAGAAAGGAGCCTTGACTTTCTGCCTATCGCTGGAGCCTTCAAAGCAACTCTGACCATCTCAAAGAACCTTATCATTTCCCAAAACGGACACTGACGTGATGTCAGCTAGGATTATCAGCTTAAGTTAACTGTCAGCTTAAGTTAACAGTACCAACAGCTGCCTCTGTGATACAAGGGGAAAAGCACAGGCAAATAATTTCATTCTTACAGCATCCCTTTTCTCATTTCACTGCAGTATGTAACTGCATAGTACTCCGAGTTGTTCATACATTCCAGATCTTGTAATCAGTTGTTTCTGTCTGAATGTGTCAATTAAAAACAAAACCCCTGCAAAAATACATTCAGCTGCAAATACTACTTTTTCCTCTACACAGAAGCTGTATTTTTTCCTTCATTTGTTCTCACAAATGTTCTTTCCCCTCCCCAGTCAACTGTAATTTCTTTCAGAGTGTTTCACATTCAAGTGAAACCATCAAAATGCAGTGTTATAGGTGCACAATTGCTTGTGATATTTATAGAGGTTCTCTGATGCAATTTCTGCATCTAGTCATTAAGTTCTGCCTACACAAACCCCAGAAAATAACATGTTAGCTTAGCTTGCAGCAGGTTTAAAAATACAAAAGACTTTCCATAAATTGGCAGTTATTCCAAAACTTGGAAAGATATTTCATTCATGTTTAACTTGTTACATTTCCCATTTTCTTGTCCCCACATTTAAGCAAGAAAGAGAATATGCTATCTGTGCTTGTTCTTAAATTAGAAAACACAAATAAGTATCAAAATACATACTAGTTTTTCAACATCCTGTGTTTGGAAGGAACTGTGCTCTCGCCTGTTTGTATACATAATCTTTTGCGCCTGCAGAACACTGTGCTCTCTCCTGTTTGTATACATAATCTTTTGCGCCTAGGATAACATAGCAAACTTGTTTTATATAAATTGAAGATTATATATAGGATCAGTAAGTTTTCAGGATCTACCCAGATTCATATTTACAGGCAATAACGTATTTAAGAGGAGTGAGTGGAGGAAGCTTCTGCAAATAGCATGTGTAGTCTGCAAAGGGTTAGCCCATAGTGGGCTTGTGTCCCTGTAAAATTGGGATGGGATTTTTAACAAGCAGCATGAAGCTGTTTCAGCTTAAAGACCTGAAAATAAGCCTGCTCTGGAGATTGCTTATGTAACATGTGATCTTTGTTTCCATATTTTGCAGCTCTGAAGATTGCGGTTGTAGATATCTATCATTCCCGGCTAAAGGAAAGACAGAGAAGAAAAAAGTGGGTTTTAAAGCACTAACTGCCTGCCTTTGCTTCCTAACCATATTACGTGCCCTGAAGCTCTCTTTGCAGCAGATAGAACTGGTTTGCTCTAGCTGCCTTCCTTAAGGGTCTCTCACAGGAGAATTTCTGAGAGATTTGCATGACAGACTTCATCTTGGATGTGCAATTCTCCTTTGCACAGACCAAAATCAACCACCTGGCTTTGTCAGTGACAGCAGACCAGAAAAGACAAAAAGAATGCCGAAATGCTAGACCCCCCGCTTTCTCCACAGAAATAATTTCACCTCTGTATTTGGTTCTTAGTAGTCCATAAGATAGTTTTTCAGAATGTATAATGATGATAACTCTATTGCCTGTGTAAGTCTGAATAATTTATTCAGTTAATCTGACAACTTTTTAGAATGACTCAATCTATTCATTAAATTCAATTTTATTATAACTTTCAAATACTTTGTTCAGTATTTAAAATTATTTCTTGCTGTATTACTGCCTGCTGGAAGAATGATCATTTGGAGAAAGACTCTTCCATTCTTTCTCCTCATTATAGAACACAGTTCTGCTGAAGAACAGTTCAGAATTGCTATCTATTGGGCTGGATCCTCATAATTCATAAATTAAAAAAAAATTATGAGGTATAATTGCTGTCATGATACAGCATGTCTTTCTAAAGGAAGGTGCCATAAGGCACAGTTGCATAAATCAAATTGGTGTCCATTTTTGTGAGGTTTCTACAGCAAAACTGGACACACATCAGAAAAAAGGACGTCACACACATAAATGCGTGTGTCACTGTCACAAAATCTCTCTGCATGGGACAGGGATGTTCTTTTATACATATTAAAGAAATTATAATGGATTTCATGGAGCAAAGTCCAGCTTGTCCTTGACAAGCCTAACTTTGCAGTATCTCTTATCATTTCTGAAAGCTGGGTATTTATCATATTGCCACGTAGCACTGAACACATGACATTTGCAGAAACCTGTGACAAGTGTATTTGTCATGCACTTGTAAATACCCTAGCTGCCTTTTCACCCTGCTCATTTCCCTGACACTGACATGAACATTTCAGACTTACCAGTTACCCAAATCATTTTCCTCTGCTTAAAATTCAAGCGGTCACGGAAAAGTTCCTTCAACCTGCTCCCAAAATTGACACCCATTAAAGCCTTGCTGCATCACATTTCACAGCTAGACAGTTCAAGGGTTATAAAAACTTCATACATCTGATGGTCTAAATCAAGGTTTCCTTTGACACTTATGTATTTATGCAGTAGAACATGCTTTATGCAGTAATTAATGCTTTTCATTAGTACTTTTTTTTTGTTACAGAATTATAAGAGATCATGGCCTAATCAACCTCAGAAAATTCCAGAGTGAGTATCAAATGTAACTACTTGCTTTAAAGTGGCCTTGACTCAGACTTCAGAGGCAAGACTTTGAATATTCACAGTGTGGCTTGTTCATCCTGGACCATATTCAGGCGGCCTGAATTCCACCAGATTTCCTGCCCTGCTGTTCCTAGTTGGCTGCATGTAACAGCACCCAACTCAGTGTATCACCACTGCTCTGCACTGCCCTTGAGAAGCATTTAGCATCTGCACTTGAGGGGTAAAGATGAAATCAAAGGCTTTTGTTTGCATCTTGCTATATCGAAAAAAAACACCAAATAACATTTAATCACCTTTTCTGCCTTTAGAATTGCAAGGGCAATATAATTTTGTTGCTTTTTACTCCTGCGTTTGTGGTTGTGCCCCCCAAATTGCCAGGCAGTATGCCAGACCTGGGTCTTAGGCCAGACCTGAGTCTTAGGCCAGATCGTAGAGGCTGGTGGTCAGTTCAGGATCCTTTCAACTACTTACTGTTAGAATTTATTTTCTCCCCATAGCAGGATTCATGTAAAGTACAAATAGTTAACTCACGCCTTTTTGTGGGTTATTTGTTGTTTCGTTGTAGCAGTTGAAAGCAATTTTCAGGAAATTTGGCAGCATTCCAGCAATTTCTTGGGACCTCAGTACAGTCCAGCTTCACAATTTGAGCTCCTGGATATTGCTCTTACCACTATGTGGGAAAAGACCATTCAGCTGTGGTGAGACTGAACACTGCTGACAGGGTGTCACTTTCTCCCTCTGACTGTAGTTCTGGAAAGACGGTACCCAAAGGAGGTTCAAGACCTTTATGAGACAATGCGACGATTTGCACGGATTCTTGGACCAGTGGAGCACGATAAATTCATCGAAAGCCACGCACGTAGGTATTTTAAAGATTTAAGCATGCATATTCTTCAGGAGGCTTATGGAGGTCTCTCCCCACGCTTCAGAAAAACAAGTGTGTTTCTGGTTGATACATTAAATGATCAGGAAGTGTTTTTTTTTTCCACTGAGATGTGTCCGAGTTCTTTGACTTCTTGGCTGACCAAACGTTCTAGTCCTGTGTTGGAAGTAGTATTTTTCTCATCAAAAAAACATTATTTACTGGCGCTTTCTTTCATTGGAGGAAAACAAACCAAAACATAAACTTTACAATCTGTATTGAGAGCAAATTGGAAATTCTTTGAATGGTACGTGTTAAAGTAATATATGTATATGTAATTATACAGTACAGCTGTCATTACGTTTCCTACCTTAAAGGGAGAGGTCATTGTTCCATCACCAAATCATCAAGTCTTTATGCATAATCATAGCATGCATTTAGCCAAATGCCAGTACGAGTCATTACATCCTGCCTGGTTCTGTGACTTACCATGAAAATTATTCCTCATTAGCAAGAACAAAGCACTTAAACAATTGCGACCGTATTTTCAGTTGTGTGTTTTTTTTTTTTAAATACCAAGGGCATGATCCTGCAAAATCATGAATGCAACATGTGAGTGTTACTCCTGAATCCTAATTTTGTTGTTGTTGCAATAGGAAAGTCCTTAAGTTAATGTGATAGTCAAATACACACGTTATGCTGAGCACTGTGAGTAAACAAACTTGAGCTGAGTGAACTTGCTTATTGTAAAACTAAGTAATGCCTGGAAGCCAGACAGTAAAAAACTATAGGCAGTAGAGATCTCTGAGCAAAAGAAGCATGGTATTTAACCTTAATGTATGGGTATTTAATCTTAATGTCATTATGAAACTGATTGCAGAAAAATTTGTCAGCAATGACAAATTTTGGAACATCCAGTTATGGAAAAGATAGCTCAAAGGCAACATTAGATACTATAAGGAGCCTGCATGGATTAGGTTTTTGAACCTGTTAAAACATCTTCCAGAAATCCTACGTTATTAATATTACTTGTCTTGACCAGGATGAGGCAAAAGACCTGCCTAAGCATAAAGATGAAGTAGTTTTCCTGGGCGCACATGCTGGAAGCCCGCTGCAGCGTGCGCTCGGGGCACTGAGCCGGTGCGGGGCTGTCCCGGGTGCTCCCTGGCCAAACGAGGCAGGCGCTCCCGGCCAGCACAGCCCGCTGACCCGCTCTGTTTTTTGGATTTCCCTTCCGCTCACCATGGGGAAAAACAGTGGAGTTTGAGCTGCGCAGGGAAATCAAGCGGCTGCAGGAGTACAGAGCAGCCGGAATCACCAACTTCTGCAGTAAGTACACGCGGCGTTACCCAGCCCTGTCCCGTCCAGCCAGCAAGGGAGGGTGACTGTAGCTTTGAGGATACATTAGAGATGTGTTTTTAAAGTGTTTCCTAACTCTAACTGAGCCAGGATTTAGCAGTAATCCATAACTCAGTGGGGTGATTTAGAGCTAGGTTGAGCCATCAGCTTGGAGAATGTTTTGTCCACCAGAACTCTGCTTTAGTCACCACTCTGAAAAGGTCCAAGAGGAGGGAAAAAAATTTAAAAATACACGCACACACACATAAATATATGTAGTGGCACAGTGTTTTCTAGTGCTTTCTGTCTGGGCATTTTCACTAGTGATCAAGAAATGTAAAATCTGGAGAGAGGAATAACATTTTTTTAAATGCCTCGTTCCATCCTGAAGTGGATCCCAAAGTCCACTGTTTGTTTTGGAGCTGAAGTTAATGGGGCAGGAGGAAAGAGGGTGGAATCTAATATCTTCTCACACCAAGAAGTTTTCATGAGGGAGAAAAGGCAGAGCCAGTGCTAGAGAAGAGTTTCTCTCTTATTTCCCAAAGCACAGAGGAAAAAACAAGCTAAAAGTCTTGACAAGAGGCCGCTGGTGACAGCGCGGTGTCTGTTCCCCATAGGTGCGAGGACGTACGACCACCTCAAGAAGACGCGAGCCGAGGAGCGCGTGAAGCGCACGATGCTCTCCGAAGTGCTGCAGTACATCCAGGACAGCAGCGCCTGCCAGCAGTGGCTCAGCCGACAAGCTGATATGTAGGGTCACAGCGAGGCTGTGCATCCTCTATACGTACACTTAGCCAGAGAGTGCCTCAAACACATGCCCTCCCTTAAGAACCAGCACATTCCCAGTTTATCCCAGCAAGAACATTCTGCAGGGCTCGGAGGAGCAAGCAGCAGATCAGCAGTTGTTGAATTTCCAACAAGGAAGTGATTAGTAGGGGCTCAAAAATCTTGGTTTTCCATATTTTATATTTCAAGAACTGAACTGCTGCTAATTAAGTCATTGAGGGAAGCAAGGTCTTTACGGGTGCTAATGAGAACACAGATGACACCTGAAATACTTCAGAGGGTTTTAGATGTAGCAGCATTATTAATGTATAGTCACCCTGCACAAGCCCTTTGAATTAAGGAAGAAACTGCAATGCAAAGGAAGTACATCCTGTACACCGCACTGCCCGGGAAGGTGATCAGTAACTTCCCAATCAGTCTCCACTGGGCTTTTCATGCCCACCCACCCCTTAAAAAAAAAATTGAGACATGGTCTTCAATCTCAGGAATACTAAATTTTTAGAAATCTTGCTGACTTCAAAACAGGGCCTGGGCTATACAAGTTGAATTTAAATTTTTTAGAAGTTGGAGGGGAGAAAAAAAATAGTTTCAGGGCCAACTTATGCAGCTATTCTTACATAACATGCAGACAGTCTAAAATTTTCCTTTCTTTTCAGTGATTCCGGCCTGACTCCCACCGTGCCAGTTCCTTCCAATTCAGGTACGTGCGTTCCGCGGGTCGGAGGCACCTCGACGCGCTGCTTGCGGGCAGCTGCCCGGCAGCTCCCCTGCCCAAGTGCACGTGTCCATCCTCAAGCCACTGCACGAGCAGCGTTTCCTCAGTCTGTGCCTCATTCCACAGGCCAAGTCTAGCATTGTGCTGAATTTCTGCATTTTTCTTGCTACAGGGGGAAAATCCTTCCTAAAGCTACATTAGCAAGGCAGGAAAGAAGAGTTTTAACACAAGAACAAAATATTTAAAAGATAAAGCTATTCCAAATTTTTAAAAGCAGCTGTATACCTGACGACGCAGATTTGGGAGGGTAGAGCGCCAAAAAGAAACGAAGTTGCTTGAAAAGCATGCAGTGGTCACAGTATCATGCACTCGAGAGGTACAGAATGAAAGAGGTTGCCTGTGCAACTTCAGTTTTCCTACCTCATGAGTGTACCTGGAAGGTTTTTAATTCTGTGATCACAAGTTACTTTTTTTCCATCAAGAGGACCCCTATTCCAGTGCCCAGTATGGCAGATTCAGGAGTTAGTCAAGGCTGTTGTGCAGAATCCCATGCTCGTTTGTTCAGGTCACCACATGGCAAACAGTGCATGAGACTAGGGGAGGGAAGGGAGGAAAGGAAAAAAAGAATATATATGAGGCTGTTAAATGTTGCTGGGGGAAACTGGATCCCAGCTGCCTCTTATCTAGTTTTATGTGGAGACTAATGCAAATCACCTGGACTGTACATCTCAGAGGTAGCCACTCACTGTGCACACCTCATTTCCCTGGAAACATGACAGGAGCCCTGGGAATTGGGGTTAAAATGCTGAGCAATTAGTCACTGCAGAAGTCAGCACGCACTCGGTTTTAAACATGTTTAGCGAGAGCTCAAATCTGGTGTTCTGAAGAGAACAGAGCACTGTGTCTCACTGTGAGCATTAGAGCAGATGCGATGGAGACAGCCTCCCCGCAGCTGAGCGCGAGGGAGGATAATGGAATTAGGTTCTTGTGGCCAGTCAGTGGCCAGGGAGAGCAGAGCACGAGTTGTGCTGCCTATGGAGCTTGGCTAACAGGCAACCCTGGTGACCAGTATCACATGGTGAACAAAACCAAAACAAAACACCAAATTATTGCTAATTAAGTGAGCATTATCAATCCTGCATACTGAATAAGGCAAGGATACTGGGGAAAACCTGCCACATGCGTAGGTAATTAGAGGTTGTATCCTAAGGAGCGTATACGAGAGAGCAAATTAATGTTGCCTAACTTTAATTCTAGATCCCTTTTATTCTGACATCTTGACTTTGCAGCCTCAATGCGTTTTGTTTTGCGTAGTCGGTACGTGTCATTTCCTAGGAAAAGTCTGTCCTGTCTCGGCACAGCTCCGTCCCGAGATGTTTGTTCCAGGCTGCAGAACAGGGGAATGTGGCAGGAAGCAGCCTCCTCTGCTGCTTTTTCCTGAACTCAAATTTCCAGCCTGCCCATGCCCTAGTGCTGCGTTACCTCTCTCAGACTCCAGCGTCTTCCTAGTCTGTCCGTCCTCCCTGTGATGGGGCTTCCCTTGCCCAGGCAGCTCCCGTCTGGGGGAGCAATTGGCACAGAGACCCCCAGCAACCCTTAGCTCAGGGGCAACAGACCTTCTAAAATAGGAAGAAATACCCCTGGCTTTGTTCTAAACTCCGGAAGATAAAAATATTATTAAAAAACCTCCTGCAAGCAGACGGGCCTCTCAAAGCTTCAGCTCCACTAGCTAGCGTTAAAGTTGCAAACAATAATGAAAGTGAGAACTCGCAGGCCAGCCCGGGATAGATATTTCTGCACTGTTTATCCTAGTGGGCAAAAACAAATCCACGGACTGCACTCGCTTTGCAATAACTGCACCGTATTAAAAGACATTTAAAGGAAACTGCTCCAGGAATGGGCAGGGAGATGGCCAGGGAAATTGGCAGTTAATCACCCCAATCACAGTCGCCGCGTTTTTACCCGGTCCCGGTTTCACACCCGCCACGCTGGGCACACCCAGGCGCGCGCTGAACCCGCTCACCCAGCCCCGGGAGCCGGGCCCGGCCGCAGGGTTGTTCCACAGGAGTCTGTTACCACCGATTCTCCCAGAAAGGCCATAAACTCCTCAATGACACGCGAGAGCTTTTGCAAGAAGTCACGGCGCTTAACCACACCAACTGTAAAGTCACCCCTTTTATCAAAGCAGTGCAGTTTTAAAGTTGAACCCTAAATAACTCTGTCTATAAATACCTGGATCATACTGGGTTGATACAAATGTATTTTGCTGCTGAAGAAGAAGCCCCTTTGGAAGCACAGAGGTTTTGAGCGTTTTCCCTTCTCGTCCTCGCAGGCAGTGGGGAGGGCCCCCCCGGGCTCCCCGGGACGGAGAAACTCAACGAGAAGGAAAAGGAGGTGAGGGCAGGAAGGAGGGGATGACCTAGATATAAACTGTTTATCTTCACAGCACAGGGGTACTCGCATCATCTGTTCTGGATGCTCTGAACATCATCTCAGTTTCAGGCCTCCGTTACTCTTTTCTGCTCAGATCTAATAATCGTTCACGTTTCCAGCTGGCTTCCTAGCTGCAGTCACTGCACTGCACACAGCCCCGCTGCAGCACATAGGCCTATTTAGCCAAGAAACTTGGAGAGAGCCAGGTGTCATTACGGGCCATTACAATGTGTGGAGAATGACATCCTTTTCTGCCTTGAGAAACCAGGGGGAGCAGGGAGGGGTTTTTTCTTTTTTTTAAATGAGGATCTATTTTAAAAAATTGGGATTTTATTAAGGACTTCACTGGACACCACTGAAGCTTAATAATGTAGCTCTTTCTATGCAGACACCCACAGCCAATCCTCAACCAATGGTGTTTGTTTTTTCAATGAAACAGTAGAGTGAACCATGGAGCATGAACAGCAGCATATTCCTATTGGTTGTTTTGTCCTAATTCCGCTCTCTGCTGTAGATACCAAGCTGCTCCTGCGCGTATGTGGCAGAGAGCAGAACTTGGCTATTCACATGGCTCTTCACTAGCCTGGCCTGGGCCTTACGGTCCCCTGGGGCACCCTGGTGCAGTTCCCAAGGCCGAGTGACACCCAGGGAGCATCAGCAGCCAGAGCAGGGAGCGGAGCAGCCTGCAGCGAGCAGGAGGAGCTGGGGCAGGGTCTGCACCACCCCGTGCACCTCTCCTTCCACGCCCGTGAAAGACTGCACAGGGAAGCTATTGAAATCAGTGGCTTTTTGTTGGTGTTCTTTTAATATTGAAGTCATAATGTGTCCTTAGATGGCGCACAAGGCAGGTTTCAGTACAGATGAAATGCCATGGGTGCATTTCGGGTTTCTTCCTCCCTGTGACTTGCATGAATTAACTGCATTTCCCCTTCTGGGGACAGCAGCACTGAATCAGAGCACAGGGAACCTGGGATTTGTGGGTCCATTCAGCATATAAATAATTGTGACTAGGGCATGAGTGTGTTCGCAAACGCGATTTCCTTGGCTGCAGCATCCAGAGGAGCTCAGGCTGTCACAGCTATTTCCTATCAATAAGGAACAATCATTAAGTGTTTCCTTATTAAAAGGAGGAGACAGCCAGGATCTCCTGGGAGCAACACAGCGCACCACCTGGCAGAAAGCTGCTGTTCACAAGGGGAAGGGGAGCACTGCAACCTGCAGCAGAACACAGGGGCTTTGGGAAGCAAACCCGAACCCTGCAGCCGTGATCCGGTGGTGCCTTTTCACCAAGTTCATCACTTCCAAACACAGGCCCTTCCACACAGAGTTTCCATGCTAGCCTTCCAGAGGGAGCGCGCGCCGTGTACGGGGCTGCTTTTGTACAAGGGTAATCAAGACCTGGTCCGCAGGGGATTAACACACAGGTGCCCTCCCTGGCTCTCGTCCAGCACGCCGAATTGCTGGACACAGGTCCTGCGGTGAACCCGGCACGCGAGCTTGCCCGGCTCCGTGAGGAACTAGACCCAGCTCCATAAGGAATGAGGCCCGGCTCCGCTTCGTGCGCCGCCAGCTCACTCCAGCCTCGGTTATTTTTAGTGAGGAACGTTTCTGAATACAGAAAGCTCCTCCTCTCCCTACCTGTGGCTTGGAGCAGCTCAGAATGCAATTACCAAGTCCTTCCACATACAGTAAAAAGTGTGTGCGTATATACATACACACACACAATAAAAATGCATTTTCAGAAGAATATTCTCACCATTGCTCCCCCAGCGGGATGCACAAAATGAGAGCGCGTGACAAGCGTTACTGTTTATTAACTTCACCTTTTGTCTTGCAGCTCTGTCAGATGGTGAGATTGGTCCCTGGAGCCTATTTAGAGTATAAAGCTGCTCTGGTGAACGAGTGCAACAAACAAGGAGGCCTGAGACTGGCGCAGGCTCGAGCGCTCATTAAGATCGACGTGAACAAAACGCGGAAAATCTACGACTTCCTGATCAGGGAAGGGTACATCACAAAAGCATGAGGCCGGCGCGAGCGCCCTGGACGGAGCAGACACACGTGGAGAAGCTTTGAAGTCACTTTGACAGTGCTGAAAGATTTTAACAGTGTTGAATCAAGGATGCTTCCTGCTGGTTAAAATCTTTTGGGGCTTTTAAAAAAAAAAATAAGAAAAAGTAGGGAGCTTTGTTGAATTGTACAAATACTGACATTTCTTTGTCTGGTTTCTTTCCACTGTGCTGTTTAACACCGCTGTTGTCAGAATTGTGCTGCTGTGAGCAGAAGAAGGAACCGTATGCCATGTAAGCCCATCTCAAACGTGCCCAGGCACCCATTTCCAACGCCTCCTGCAAGCAGAGGTGCTCCCATCCCGAGAGCCCTGCAGAGCACGGGCCGGAGAGCAGCGCGACGCGGCGGCGAGGGAAGGGCGAGGGAACGCGGACCCTGCCCAAACCAGCATCAGCTTCCAGAGGAGACAGCGTGTGCCGGGGGCTATCAAAACAGAACTTGCAATTGTCCGATCTTTTTAACTTAACTGTGATACCGGATGGGGAAGGACATTGCAGGGGAGCTCCTCAACGGGTGTAACTTTTGTGTGATTTTAGCGCCTATCACAGCATGAGAGCATGATCCAAATCCCCAGGCTTCCCTGCCCCATGCAGGGGACAAGGTGCTCACGGCTGCTCTGGAGGCCCAGACGCAGCCACCGGAGCAGCCTGTGGAACACAAGGGAGCAGCAGCCGGTGCCCAGGCTTTGCTCGCACAGGAGAGGAGCGGAGGCAGCCGCAGCCCCCAGCTCTGCCCGCGGCCCCTCCGTGCGCGGAGGCTCCTTGCGGCTCGACGCGTTGCTGGAGCATTCCCGGCTGACCAAGAAAGCAGCGATAAGAGGCAACAAGTCACTGCAGCCAACACCCAGCCGCGCCAGATAGAGCATTCCAACACTCCAGCACGAAGCGGTTGTGTTTGGAAATAAAA